AAAATAACACTGCTACCATACATAATACATAAACTACTTCAAATATTGGACCAATTTTTTAAAGAAAATCTAGTAAAAAAGCCTCCCTCTCTTAAAATAAAATCCTCAGTTATACATATATTTAAATATATGACTTCAGATAGAAAATTGAAGACAATTGATATTCGGCAAAAATGAATCACAGAGCAACTTCGTGTTAAGTGTATTACAATAGGCTCACAAGAAATCTTCAAAACACAAGAATGTCTCTTCATCTGACACCAGAAACAAAAACATTCGTCTGAGGAATTTGACATTATTCTCAGCCTTTGAGAAGGAGCACCTGCTACTTTTAACACAAAATATCACAATGTATTATTGAAACAGAAAACAAGTCAATATTTATAGTCACTGAAAACCATGCTTGTTTTTCCAATTCTACAAACCTAAACAGAAATAAACACTACACGGCTCTAATTTTGGCATTTCAGTCACAATACACAAATATTGAATCATACGTCCATTTTAAACAAGCTGGTTCTCATAACTGCCATGCCATGAGTTACACTGGGCAGCATACAAAAGTTGGAACATATGGCTTCAAAACAGCAGGCCAGGGGGCATGTTTTAAGTGCATGCAGAGGTCAAGGTAGTTGGACTCCTAGTTTGTCTTGCAGTCCCTTAACCACATTTCCCCTACTGCCTAGTGCCTAGCCCTCCCTGCAATGCTAAAGCCCTAGATGAAGTAAGTCTAGATTTCCTCAAGTTCCTGAATTTCCCAACTCACTGGGGCTAGTTTTCGATTTAAATGGGTTTATTTGTTACTATCAAAATAATATATATTCAGGGACTAAGCGATAGTGATCCTAAGTCATTATAAAATTATTGTATTAGTATGTTGTGTTGTTTTCCTGACTTATAATGTATCTATCTGTTCATATAGATTATAGATTATTGTCACCGTTTCTACATGTACAGTTAGTGAACTAAAATATTTTGTATCTTTTTTTTCTGCCACTGCTGAAATAAAGAATTGTTCTTGACTCTTTTATAGTATAGTATAGTATAGTATAGTATAGTATAGTATAGTATAGTATAGTATAGTATAGTATAGTATAGTATAGTATAGTATAGTATATAGTCATATCATATATATCATATCATCATATCATATCATATCATATTATAATGTTATATATTATATTATATTATATTATATTATATTATATTATATATATTATATTATATTATATTATATTATATTATATTATATTATATTATATTATATTATATTATATTATTTTTAAATAAGCCAACTATGTTTCTGGGACTACATGTCAGACAAAGATCAAGGCTGTCTGGGAGTGGTCAACACTGACATCTGGGCTGTAACAGTCTGTCTGTGAATGGCAGTGTCTAGTAGAGATGGATGAACCATCTGCTGGTGGAGCACCTGGCTGTATGCCCAGCTCCTAAATGATCTGGTTTAGTGTCCAGTGTATAAAGGATCAAAGCAAGTCAAAGAACAGATGAATGGACCTTCTTTACTCCATGCATACAGCCCATTGAACACAGACACAGCCCATTGTTCATACTCCTACACCTTTTATGAAATTGTGATTTTGTCACGTTTTTTTTCTCAGCAATGTCATATATAAATATAATGTCCATGATATCAGATGGTTTATAATCGGACATTGATTGATTTCCTATTGATAGTTTTTCTATAAAATATATTGTCCCATAAAATAAGTTGATAAAACCATATGAAGTAGTAACGCGCCACATGTCACCAGTTAAATTAGTCGCATGAAGAGGCAACAATTAACTGCATTATTTTCCCTTTTTCCTGTGTGAAAAGCGATAGCTTGGTGTTAAACATGTTATTTCTACCTCACTTTAAACATGTTCAATTAAATACTTCCACGGAGACTGACTTCTCCGAAACCCTGGTTTCTGAGAACAATTTTTATACAAAGCCAACCTTAAAACATTACCAACAACAATTTTCTCAATTTCTATTCATGTATTATTAAAAGATCTTGAAAATGTGCTTTTAGTTGCGGGAATATGTTTCAAGAAAGCTAAGTTATGTTTTAATCACCTTTATGTCCACAATATTCATGTTGGTTCTATAGGAATGATATTACCATGATGGATTCAAATTTAAAATTTACACACATATTATGAAAACTTCAGAATTTATTCATGGACTGCTTCGAAATTATGTTCTGTTAGTAAACTAGGCATAAATATGTCACCACCCACACATGATGTGAAATATTATCTGATATTTATTGATAAACAATGGATATTTAGTTCACAATTATTTCTCTGATCTCTATCGATAACCAGCCCATAAAACATCATCTTGATTTCTGTTCCATCATCCTGATGATATAATCATCGGAGAAACAAAATGTAAATAATGTTGAATGGGTACTTCACAAACTAATCGGTTTCTTGCAGCACTTGTTTATCCTGAATCCTTGTTTATCCTGAAGGTCTTTCCAGCTAAAAATAGCTGCTCCTTATTGAAACAAGATCCATCATATACATCAGGGTTTTCACCTTGCCTTACTGTAAATAATCGAGTCTGGACTAGACAATCCAGTGACCAACAGCATGAGCATCAATTGGGAACCGATGACATGTGTCAACCAAGCCAGCAAGCCTGACCACCCGATCCCGTTAGTCGCCTCTTACGACAAGCATGGGTTACTGAAGGCCAATATTCTAACCCGGACCTTCACGGGTAACTAATTTAAAGGGTCTTAACAGGACATTTGTGTGTCCAGTAGTGTTCTGTACTGTGTAATAATTACATATACAGAACCTGATATATTTAGTTGAGAGTATGGCATAATATTACTGCAATACATACTTTCTCTGTGAACATTCTATACATTATACATACTGGAGGCACATTACTGCATGGCTTAGAACCCTGATGCATCACTGGAAATAACCATGTTAAAAGTGAAACCTATCATTATTAGTCATACAGGTATGATAATATTTGTCATTCCAGGTAATTATTGTATCAGTATAAGAGGATGTATAACAATCTAGCAACACATGTGCTCCATGCAAAGCAGTGTATACATAACAATGCATTAAGCCCTGCAGACAGTTGATCAAGTATCAAGTATTACAAATCTAGCAATTCTGTAAACAAACCTGCAGTTTGTGAGCAGGTTGTATTGATTGTACACAAATTAACAGTTTATAGTCAGAGGACAAAAAACAATACACATAAATCTGTCGATCTTATTCACAATGCACAGAGTCCCAAGACTCAAAAGCAGGAATGTTTGTTGGTGCTGAATAGCTGTGTTAGGTCCTGGAGTTGACTGGATATAATCAACATTTTAGGACCTGGAGTTGACTGGATATAATCAACATTTTAGGTCCTGGAGTTGACTGGATATAATCAACATTTTAGGACCTGGAGTTGACTGGATATAATCAACATTTTAGGACCTGGAGTTGACTGGATATAATCAACATTTTAGGACCTGGAGTTGACTGGATATAATCAACATTTTAGGACCTGGAGTTGACTGGATATAATCAACAGTTTAGGTCCTGGAGTTGACTGGATATAATCAACATTTTAGGACCTGGAGTTGACTGGATATAATCAACAGTTTAGGTCCTGGAGTTGACTAAATGGCTATTGTTTCACTATAGGACCTGGAGTTGACTGGATATAATCAACAGTTTAGGACCTGGAGTTGAGCATCACAATAGGACCTGGAGCTAGAGCTTTATCTAATCAACAATTTAGGACCTTGACGATATAATCAACAATTTAGGACCTGGAGTTGACTGGATATAATCAACAGTTTAGGACCTGGAGTTGACTGGATATAATCACAATAGGACCTGGAGCTAAATGGATATTAATCACAATTTAGGACCTGGAGTTGTAGCATCACAATAGGACCTGGAGCTAAATGGCTATTGTTGTCACTATAGGACCTGGAGTTCTAGTGTCACAATAAGACCTGGAGTTGTAGCATCACAATAGGACCTGGAGCTAAATGGCTATTGTTTCACTATAGGATCTGGAGTTGTAGTGTCACAATAAGACCTGGAGTTGTAGTGTTGTAATATAGGACTCAGAGTTGAATAGTTGTATTATATTATTATAAGACCTGGATTGGCAAAGTCACTATAGGACCTGGAGTTGTAGTGTCACAATAGGACCTGGAGTTGTAGTGTTGCTATATAGGACATGGAGTTGAATAGTTGCATTATCACTATAGGACCCCATTCCACAAAGCGATCATAGCGCTACGACTGCCATATGTTACAGTCCGTTTGATTTCATTTGAGACCGATGAATTGCTCACTAACACAAACTCTAATAAATGCAACAAAACCAAATTTTGCACAGTCACATAAAATCGACAGACCAATTCTGATGATTTGTCTCATAATTTTGGACAACCTGAATAAAAAAGTTGTTTTTTTATTCGGTTGTCCAAAATTTTCGCTATCTTTCACAAGGGGGGACCGCTTTCTGGTAGAACAGCCAGGTGTGCAAGTTGCACATGTGAAATTGAAATTTCACTACAGACGCTTGTTGATTGCCTGGCTGTTCTACCAGTAAGTGGTCCCCCCATCGTACAAAATAGCGATAAGCGGCAACAAAACAACGACCGTTTGTTAAACAACTTTTGTATTCGGAGGTCAAAAATTATGAGACAAATCATCAGAGTTGGTCTGTCGATTTCATTTGACTGCAAAATTTGGTTTTGTTCCATTTATTAGATATTGTGTTAGTGAGCAATTCATCGGTCTCAAATGAAATCAACGGGCTACAAAGTATGGCAGTTGCGATCATCTTAGCGCTACGATCGCTTCGTGGAATGGTTTCCTCGAGTTGTATAGTCACTTTAGGACCTGGAATCGATTGACTGTTTTTTCGCCATATGACCAGAAGTCAGGTCAAGCTCTGAGGAAGACAGTGTTAGGGTCAGTGTTACATGACAGAGTTATGTGTGTGTTCTCACCTTTGATAGAGCTGACATTGGGATAGCTGAGTAGAGGTATGATCAGCAGGAACACGGCGTACAGGAACGACAGGGCATTGAAACGCACCACCGCAGCTGCAGTCAAACATAGCACACATTGTAATCTACAGTTGCCTCATACTGTTCACCATGGTATGTCACACATTTGTCAACATTCTACTTTTGTCCTATGGTGATTAATGTCTTACATAAGGCAAAGTCATAATGTACAATATCTGTGGTGCTATTAACCACTAGGAACAATAGAAACATTACGTCAAGACAATTTTAACGGCTTACAAGAGTATATGACTTTAGCTACTACAGCAAAGCATGAGACAATTAAAATTCTAGTTAGCGCAGCTTATAATAATCCATATTAAAACACTAAGATCAACTGAAAATTATCTTAAGAGGCATGTTACGGCGAGTAGACTTACAAAAAGTTTCGCACAGACTGCTAGAATACAACCAAAATATTCTGTTCCATAGGCATGCACATTATTTTTTTAACTATGCTAAAATATCACAGCATACATAATTTCCATGTCTATATAGGTTACTCATAGAGCTAAAACACTAGTCCAGATGTCTAATGTCCCCATTTCACAGCAGCAGTGCACTCTGTGACCCAACACTTGTGAAGAACATTTCACTTGCCACTGAGCACATACTAGATCGGTTAAACAGATGAAATGTCATTCCAGTTTGGCTGTGTGGGCAATTCTAGAACTTGGAACACTGGTTTTCAAATAGGAACCACTGGTACATAAATCATGACGGGGATGAAACAAATGTCATGGCTACGGACTAATTTTCCCTTGTTACATTCTTGTACATGAAATTACAATTATTGACTTTTTTTTCTAAAATGGATCAAATTTTGAATTAAATATATTGGACAAAATTGTGAATCAATTCTTAAATTAAACATCCTCAACCTAGTTGATGATTAGTCATAACAGATCTTCTTGACTTCACTTTCTCGATCATTGTCTCAACATGTTCAGCTAATCAATAATCTGCTCAGAATGCATGCAATGCAACCATTGATTTGTTTTCCATTTTCACTGCTTCTGGTATGTGGTAAGTTACAATTTTCATTTCTTCATTTTAACTATATTCTTACTATTTCATAACCTAATGTGATTAAAGTCAGTTACTGTCAACTTAATTTAAAATGTTCATCAAAACGAGTTAAATGCATCAAATATAACTTGAATGTGTAAAATAGCATACCAAGACTAAACAAATTCAAAATCCAACTATTTTTAAATTAGTAACATAATGATAAATTGTCTACAACTACAACGCATTATTAACCAACTGCTATTAATAAACAATGGCTGTCAAAACAGTATTTCCACTTACCTGCTAAAAGGGTTAATGGTAACAGAATCCTAAACAATGAGTAACAAACTGTCTTTGTGACCTTTGAATTCATTGTGCGAGTTGGTCCGTAACCCCTTTCTCAAATTTCATCAACACAACTCCAACAATATACAAGCAATCCACAATCACAAAAGAATTCCAAAATCTTGGCACCGCCAAAACGGTCACATGGCTCCAAGCTTTCCTCTTCGCCAAAGATTCCTCAAACAATGCACAACAACCGGAGATGCTACTATTTTCTCTTGAAGAGGCGCAACATCTCAACGGTAGAAGGGATATTCCTTTGAATGAAAATCGATCCAACCACGCGCCGACGTCCAAAACGCTCACATGATCTGCACAGCTGTCGCACCGGGCTGAGTGGCCCGAACGAGGAAATGCTGCCACCAAGAGAAATAAACACGTCAACTTTCAAGATATGACAGGGGTCTTCCTAGCGACAAAAAACACCCCGTTTGGTTCCTGCGGCGCCGTAAGACGATTTCATTCGAAGTGTCTATTAACATATAACGCAGAAGACTTTAGCCTAATTTCCTTCACAACTTTCTCTTAACATCCATACAAAATGTCATCTGCTTTCGCAGTGGCGCCCTCTTTGTTACTCAACCCCTCTTTCGTGTGAGCGAAAGCCGGTAAGGCACCAGTTGCGGTATTTCGCGATCTGATTGGTTAATTGATAGAGAGCCGTCACTCAGCCCAATCAACGCTCGTATAGTAAAAACCAGTTTGATCCAATGACGCTTAAATCCACGTGCCGGAACAATCACAATCCAACCCGGTTTGATAAAGATGCATTGTGATTGGTCAGTGACGGAGCGCGTGGATGACTGACTGATAGAAATTTACAACTGCAAGTCACCGGTTAGCTGATCGAGTTGTTTACTACAGGTATTTGATGTGTATTGCTCAGTAACTGAGTCCATTCTCGCGGTGTTACTATGTATATTACTCACGTATTGCTCTTTAATGACTGTTAGGAACCTACGCGTGTATATTGTGTATATCACACAACACCGTTCGAGAAACTGACGATACTGCCCTGTTTTCGATCAGATAATACCTGTCACAATAGATCTTTTTTGATAAATCTGTCTTTATATCAATGTGCAAAGACATTCATTTCACTATCATATTTATTGAGGGTTTTAATCATCAATCATTTAATCAGATCATCCTTTAATGACTTGTTGGAAAGAGTTCCTTCCGTTCCCCCAACTCTAAAACAAACTCTAAACCCTAAACCTAAACCTAGCCCTAACTTAAATTTTGGACTTTTAATCATTTTGTGAGTTCTCTAGTAAATGTTGTGTTAAGTTTTGTTTATAATTCTAGAATATTTATACATATTATTTGGGATGGGGGAACGGGAGGAATTCTTACCAGATATACCATACTGTGGGATTTGTACACACTTTAAATACAAAAATATAGCCAGACTAATTCCAAACAGGCACTCAATTAATCCCATGAAAGTTTGCATGTTCTTAAGACCACGGCACATTTTCAACCCAAATACAATAACTCATGAAGTTTCTTACAATGTATTGCAGTCTGCGTGAGTTACTGTGTTTGGTGCCAATGAAAATGTGATTGGATCTTATCATTATGATGCAGCCTTTAATAGGATTGTGACTTGACAATATGTGCTACTGTTCTGGTTACAGAGTGTACATATTCAATGATTTATTAGCACTGTTGGTTTTCTTTGGTATGTGTATGAATGTTGATAATGCAAACTAATATGTTGGACACAATGATTTATTTATCATTAATAATTGGCACCGACTACTCTTGATGTCACACCACACATCAGACAAAATGCTTCATGACTACCGAAGTATGTAACACGTGTGATGTTTGGGATTACACTTTCTTAGTAAAGTACAGATTCTATTACTTTTGTTGGGTTGAGTCCCATCTGGGATTCGAACCTGCACCCTCAGAGTCAGGTACCTAATTGCCAGCACACAAAGTCAGACGCCTAGACAGCTCAGCCACCGCGGCTTCCACAAAAAAAGGAAGTTGGACAACTGGTAGCCTAGACTGCGGACTGTGTGTACTCATCTGATAAGTGTTAATTGGCACGTCTGAAAGCTATGAAATACACAATGCCATTTTAGAAAGTGGTTAAATGTACTTTACTAAGAAAGTGTAATCCCAAATATAACATATGTTACTTACAGTCAGGCACTTAATCGCTAGTACACAAAAGTCAGCCACCTAGCCCGCTCAGCGACCACAGATTCTCAGCGACCACAACAATCTTTTGGAGGATATGATAACACATAAAGAGAATCGTTCCTTAACCTGTCAACAGCTGTTCATAGTCTATGATATGTCAATAAGTTAATAACTGACAACTAAAATCAACAACTTATGCCATATTTGACTTATGAAACACATTACTTACATTGCTATAAAAATAACAGGTGTTGATTGTTGTTATGGTCAAGTATATTTCTCATAAACAAAGTATACCCTGAAACTGTTGTAAACAGTCATCAGACAAAGTACAAATATATGCTGACTATAATATGGCATCAAATATTTCTGTAAATGTAACCGTATATAAAATTTTGTAACTGCAAATAATAACATTTATTTTACTCAACATTTTATTAAAGTTAAATTCCAAACATATGTAAATTTGCATATAAACATATGCATATCATACACATTACCATATGAAGTTGCTATTAACAAACCCCGTATGATGCATTTTTATCAAGTCTGTCCAATATATATTCAATAGTCAACATGTATAGTATACGCATTAAGTGTGTGGAGCTGGGTTCATTAATTCAGACACTGACAGCAACATCTATATGACGAATATGAGCAGATATACATACTGTGCCAGGGCTTTACCTTGATTCATGTATTTGATGGTCCTTGGGACTCATGCTTATAATTTTTAGGGGCCCTGCACAACAAAATGGGGGTGCCGGCCACTTAAAATATTATTACTAATACTGTTATGGTATTGTGTATCATGATCATCACTTTAATTGTTACAGTAATGAAATTGCAAATCATACCATAATTTAGCTAGTAGCAAACTCAGTGATAACTTATTGCTACTTGATTGGAATTTTGACAAAAGCATTTGGACTTTTTCTGCGTCCCTGTGTATGCGCTAATTAATTTTGTTGTACCATTGTCAATTTTTATGCATAATGGAATTCGTGTCCTGCTGTGCAGACCGATCAAATCACAGCAATATTGAACGGATAGATATATTATATTACTGCTGATGATTCATTCATACATTCAAACATTGATTTCATACATTACACACGTATACATACATAACATGTAATCCAACAGCCCGTATGTTTAACATTCTTACCTTGATACTCCACATTACCATGATCATCAGATTGATACTACTTGAAGATTTAGATCATGATATATATATTATGCCTGAATTTGACGCTTACTGGATTATTAAATTATTTACTATATGTATATTATAATACTTGTAATGCATTGCATTATGCATTAACATACCCTAACACCACTAGTTATTATGAGGGGCGGTGGGGTAGCCCAGTGGTTAAAGCGTTCGCTCCTCACGCCGAAGGCCCTGGTTCGATTCCCCACATGAGTACAATTTGTGAAGCCCATTTCTGGTGTCCCCTGCCGTGATATTGCTGGAATATTGCTAAAAACGGCGTAAAACCATACTCAGTCAGCCAGTCAGTTATTATGAAGTATCCAATATGTACAACATGACAAAACAGACAGTTAATTGAAAGCATAAATACAATATGTCCTCAGATCCTAGGAATATGTACCAAATATAACATAGCCACAAGAGACTAACATTTATAAGTGGATAAACGATACAGTCCGAATGTCAACACAATGTTCAAAATTGTTAAATACTGTTTTGGGGGTATTTTTGGAGGTTTTCTTTACTACAGTGGATCAAATACTGTATGACCACCTGGTAGTTAATGTCAAATGTGTCATAGTCTGCAAAAACTAAAATCCTTTAAACTTGGGACATTAAGCTACAAAGTTAATGACAAAGGGGCAGTAAGTAGCGTGCTATGGCAGGCTGTTGTGTGATAGTGACAGTCTAAGTAAACTTAGGCTCAGTATTATTCGTTACACTGCTATACTGAGTCTAACAAAACCTAGTAGAAGGTGGTGTCAGCTAACCTTTTGGACTGACCAATCAGAACACAGCTTACCAAATCGCGAAAGTTAACATTCGCACTTATCGTTTCAACCTTTACCACAAAAACTCAAACGATTCCGAATGCTATTTTCCGCACGATCGTTTCTGAGTGGTACATGCAATGAGTAAAAAGTCGCTGAAAATAGCATTTTTGTCAATATTCAAGGATGTCATCTTGCAAAAATATAAGCAAATAGTAACCATGTCATTAGAAACCCATAAGGGTATATACTGCAGGTCAAATATCTGTGTTTTATGCGGATTTTCGTTTGTTGGTAGATCAGTGTCAATGACCAGGGAAGAGAAAATTCAAAAACCGTTTTGTAAGTCCCGTCGAACCCTAACAAGTAGTCATTGTCTGACTGGTTAAATCCGTTCGTCCGTCTCACGTTTGATTGGAAAGGTCAAGGTCGCTGAAAGGTTAGCTGACGCAACCTTCTACTAGGTTTTGTTAGACTCAGTATAGCAGTATAACAAATAATACTGAGTAGACTGGTGATAGTGAATGAGTGAGTTTAGTTTTTACACTGCTTTTAGCAATATTCCAGCACTATCACAGCAAGGGACACCAGAAATAGGCTTCACACATTGTACCCATGTGGGGAATGAAACCAGGTATTTGGCATGATGAGCGAACACTTCAACCACTAGGCTACCCCACTGCCCACTGTTGTGTGATAGTGCAGTAGACTGTGACAGAATACTCTTGCAGTACGCAGGAATAGAGAATTAGGAAAGCTGGAGAGTGAAGTATATACCGTTTAAAACATACTTAACTGAATATTTATTTCAGTCAAAGATAAAGATAAAAACACCCAAAATATATACAAAATATTTGATCAGTGTCACATCTGAGGAGGGTATCAATGTTAAACTGTGGCATGGTATCTCAATGGATCAGCACTAGCGTTAGCCCAGACTAGTACAAGCAGCCCAACACGCATGCACTCAAACACACACGTTTCTATAGTGCAATAATGTTGAACACACCCAGTGGCCTTGAGCATCACATCTTTGAGTGCAGAGTTGCTTCCCTTGGCTCTGCCTGCTTCCATTGGTTGTAATTCTAACTCCCAAGTGTGCACTTGTTCAAAGATGTAACTTATTTATGTTCCTTAGGTGTGGAAGCACTCACTCTTTCATTCATGCATGCACACACACACAAACCCACCCACCCACTCACTCACTCAATATTAAACATGACAAATGTTGAGTTTCATCGAGAGAATTGTCTATCTTCATGCAACTTGTGATATGAAATACTCAGCACAAAACAATTGATGTTTTATGGGTAGATTAGTTTTGGCATTCCTCATCCTTCTGTTGAATTGTAAACTTTTCTGTCATGATTGACTGTAAACACTTCATTGTATTATATTAAAGTTGCAGCTTCTTTTGGTAACATAAATACCTACCTGCCTGACCTTTCATGAAGGACTGTTATCTTATTTCCTATTTAAGGCAGTTATCTTATTCTCAAAATGTACACCTGATGGTCATGTCAGTTTCTTAAAATCATATTTGTAATAATTTTAAAATCATATTTGTAATAATTTGAATGAAAACACATTTTAAAGCATATTAGAATATCTGTCGATTAAAACATATTTGTAATAAAGGATCTATTTACTCTGCAGCAGTATATTGTATGTTTTAGGTTGAACAATGCTACACCAACGAAACCATTTTACTGACTGTGATTTTTTTTATCATATGCAAAGAATATCTGTCAGATTTACGATATCTGGGCTGCCACTGGGCAGGTAACTTTTATGTGCCTGTGAATATCCAACACTGTTGATCACTAAGTAACTTAAGTTTCTTCTATGTTGATGAGTATTTTTGCAACCCTTACAGTTTTTGTTTTTTAAGAAAACATACAAACTTTATTTTTGGTCATTTTCAGATTTTGAAGTAAAGATCATAGCTTGACGTCCAAGATGGCGCGGATGATGAGTACAGCCGTGTCCGACATGGTGTTGGCGCTGTCTGTCTTCTGGTTGGTCAAATACCTTCTTGTGCGGAACATGTTTGCAGCTCTGGGATTCATGATCCAGGGTTTTGCGGCTGCCGCAGGTGTCGCCAGATTTTCGTCCCGAGCTCCTGGAACCACCATCACAAATGTTCACAAATATCTCTCTTGGTTTGCAAGAATCGCTGGTATGCCACTGGTGGCTGTTGGATTCTGTAAATATGTTATGCCATATTTGATGAATCTGAACTTTATGTTTGCATTGGGTGTGATTTTTACCAATAAGCTGCTTGATGAGAGCCAGCGTTCCCTGGTAAACGAGGCCTGTAGTGGGTTTGCCATGTTAACTATCATTGCAGTTTCCTATACAACGTGGAACGTTGCAGGACTCGCTGCTTCCTTCGTGTATGTTGTGTCGGGCCTTGTAATTGGCTCTGAAGGATCCTGGGGTGGTATGCAACGAATAGACATTTTACACTACGCACTTGTTGTCGGCAATGTATTTTTCTACTCAGCTCTGTAAATATTGTTAATTCAATTTGATTACAGTATGTCAATCTGCAGAAGTTTTAATGATGACCTTTCTATGCTGTAGATGTTGATTACCCAGTTTGCTTGCTTAAGTTTTCATATGGTTTAGCCAAGAGACTGTAGTCTGCCAGAAGTCAACAGTCTTCAATTATTCAAGAGCAGTCAAAACATGATCATATGGGTTCGCTTTATGTTTGAACTTTGTCTCACTTAAAGTCACTGACTTGTTCAAAGACCCACAATCAGTTTTGACAAGAAAGCCTGTCTGACATATTTCACACACTGCATCTGATAAAATCAGTTCTTTTGACAAATGTGTTTCCACTTATCTTTACCATTACATTTTTTAAGTGTCATTCCATGAATGTCAAGCAGTGATACTTTGAAATCAGTATCTAGTGTCACCTTTCGTATGGAAAATTGTGATTGGGCAACACAATGTCTGAGCTGTTGCTTTGATTGGCTGAAGCATGTACTCAGGGGTAATAACAGGGTACATGTTCATGGGCACAACAATAGTAATGATACAGAATCATATCACACAGTATTGATGGTTGCTGATGAGGCCTCAATAATGTTGTTTAATATATGAAATATGTTTTTGCTATGGATTTCATGATCATATATCTTTACGCAAATCAACAAATGTCAGTCTCCCTGGCAATAATCAAACAATGATCATGGTTATAAAACACAAACCTTCTTTAAACGGGTTGCATTACCTTAACAGAGATATTTTTAATAATGACTCCAGAATTTGTAAATGAGAAACAGATAGGAAGAGATAATCTTGTATGTTTCTCTTTTCCAGTGTGAAGTTTAGCAGACTGCCTGTATTCCTTATACCCAGAGCGGAAGGTCGCGGGTTCGATCCCCGACCGCGTCATACCAAAAGACGTTAAAATATGGTACTTGTTGGTCCCTGCCTGGCGTTCGGCAATAATGGGTACAACAAGGACTGGTCGGCTTGAGTCAGTATAATGTGTCTGAGTGGGGTATTCATGCTTCACTGCGGCATGGTATCTCAGTGGGCTAGCACTATAAAACCAGCTTCACTCCGGGCTAGTACAAGCAGCCGCACATACACATACACACGCATGCACGTCGTCATATGAGCGAAATATTCTCAAGCACGACGTAAAACCCAATTTCACCTCACCTCACCTTATACACATGCCAATATGCATATGTATTATATGCTGTTATTGGCATGATTAATATGTAGAATCTTTAATCTTCTTAATCAGATCTGAGTCTGGTTTTATGTCAAAGGAAAAGACATTTTATTATGTTCATGTAGTTATGAAATTAATCCATTCCTGTTTATATGTAGAAGATGAGATATTTATATTCCAAGATATGTAGTTTACCAGGAGTTGAATGCACTATTGAGGATGCTCATTCAAAGGGAAGCAACTCTTGTCAGTAGGTTTGGCATTTGGAAGTAAATAAAGACATGACCTTTAGGGATATGGAATTCTGAATTTTTCGTAACAGTGTTTAAGGTCAAGTTGCTGACACTTCATCAGGTGAATGCTTAGAAAGTGGGTGTGAGCTATATATAAATCATATCATTTGACCCGTGAAGACCCGGGTTAGAATTGGTCTTAAGTAACCCATGCTTGTCATAAGTGGTGATTAATGGGATCGGGTGGTCAGGCTCGCAGACTTGGTTGACACATGTCATCACATCCCAGTTGTGTAGATCAATGCTCATGCTGTTGATCCCTGGATTGTCTGGTCCAGACTCGATTAAAAATTGTTCCTTTTTTATATTGTTTGGAAAGAGGCCCAAAGTATCATCACAAACCCATTGTCATTCATTGTTCATGACAAGGAATATAGATTACCTGTCCTTAGTGAACAAGTGTAGAAAGTTCTGAGCCAAGGAGCAGTGAGGTAGCCAAGTAGTTCAAGCGTTTACTCATCACACTGAAGACCCAAGTTCAATTCCCCACATCGGTACAATGTGTAAAGCCCATTATTTTTCCTTATCCTGACTCATGCTTATTTGCTTCCTCCTTCTTCTATGCGCATGGTAGTGGAACACTTGAATCCCTTGACGTTCCCTTGAAGAGGGCGTAAAAGTTCACTCACCCCTGAGTTGCCTCCCTTTTCCCTCCAAAACAGTCATGTGACCTGCCATGCTTGTCACTCTCTCCTTCTCCTTAAAAAATTACATTATGGTGTCCCCTGCCAAGATATTAATAGAATACTGCTAAAAGCAGTGTAAAGGCATACTCTATTACTCTCTCTCTCTCTCTCTACATATAGAGTCAGAATTTACAGAATTATGGACAGATAATCATAAAACGTTAAAACTCATGAGTTAACTTATAGACTGACTGACTGAGTTTGGTTTTACGCCGCTTTTAGCAATATTTCAGCAACATCACGGCGGGGGACACCAGAAATGGGCTTCACAGTTAACTTATAGATATCTTATAAATATATCTAAACATACTGCATGGATTGTTATACACATCAGCATCACTATTTCTCATTATAGAACATATATTTTTAGTTCAGCCATATATGAGATGAACATTTAAGATATAGAGGTAGGAAAGGCGACAGGAAGTGTGTCAGATAACAGTCACCATGATGTTTCAAATATGACAAATGACTGCTATAGATAGAATCTGGTTTACATTCATAAATAACAGTGTTAGAAATGTGAGGCTAAATGTCTACATTTGTTTAATTAAATACTGTTTCCTATAGGCTAAGGTTCTCGCTGACTATATCTAGTGAATGTGAACTTTAACTAACTGCATTAAGTAAATTCAGACGAAGTTCTCACAATTTAATGGTTGAAAAAGGTGGATGGTTTGCTCCCAAGTTACAATTCAATGAAAGATTATGTCCATTTTGCTGTAAGGTCATTGATGATGAATACCATGTTGTGATGGTTTGTCCTAAATATGAACTATAGAAAAAGATATATATCAAGGTCAGTTTACAATATCCAAGTATGGCTAAATTTGTTGAGCTGTTGCAAGACCAACATGCTGGATTTATACTTAATTTGTCAAAGTTTGTTAAACTTGTTAAGTTAAACTATTATTGAATGTAAAAGTGATTGACCTTTGGTCTAAATAAACATTCATCATCATATTTGCAAACAGGTATTAGTTTGGAATAGATTATCTAAAAACATAAAAATGGCCATTTTTATTGCACCTCCGAAACGGGTGGATTGTCACAGAAAATCTAAAGGTTTGACATATTTCAAAAGCAGCATTTTGTGGTATTGTGTAGTGCTTCTGCTTCTACACAACAATGGATTCTAATGATTTTTGTTCTGTACATTTCATACTTCTCTACTGCACTTGAAACTGATTAATCTTAGTTTGACATAGGAGGTAATGCTTTATTCAAGCTTCTGCTGTTACTGACTTGTTACCAGATGTATATATAACTTGATATCACATAAATGTTTTGTATCAATAATGGGGTTGTATAAGAAAATAAATATTTTTGAAGTCTAGAATACTAGTGGTTTTTGTTGTTGACTAAGTAAGCTAAGTTAGGTACTTCCTAGTAAAGAAACCTGTGAAGATCCAGGTTAGACTTTTTTTCAGCAGCCCATGCTTGTCATGAAAGGCGACTAACAGGATTGGTTGGTCAGGCTCGCTGACTTGGTTGATCCATGGGTACAGGATACAGCCGCTAAAGAGGCAGTGGGTACAGCCGCTACGGAGGCAGTGGGTACAGCCACTACGGAGGCAGTCGGTACAGCCGCTACGGAGGCAGTGGGTACAGCCGCTACGGAGGCAGTGGGTACAGCCGCTACGGAGGCAGTGGGTACAGCTGCTACAGCCGCAATGGGTACAGCCGCTACAGACGCAATGGGTACAGCCGCAATGAGTACAGACGCTACAGAGGCAATGGGTACAGCTGCTACAGAGGCAATGGGTACAGAGGCAATGGGTACAGCCACTAGAGAGGCAATGGGTACAGCCGCTACAGCCGCAATCGGTACAGCCGCTACAGACGCAATGGGTACACAGAGTACAGAGGCAATGGGTACAGCTGCTACAGAGGCAATGGGTACAGCCTACAGAGGCAATGGGTACAGCCGCTACACAGCAATGGGTACAGCAGCTAGAGGCATAATGGGTACAGCCGCTACAGAGGCAATGGGTACTACCGAGGCAATGAGCCGCCTACAGAGGCAATGGGTACAGCTGCTACAGAGGCAATGGGTACAGAGGCAATGGGTACAGCCACTACAGAGGCAATGGGTACAGCCGCTACAGAGGCAATGGGTACAGCCGCTACAGAGGCAATGGGTACAGCCACTACAGAGGCAATGGGTACAGCCACTACAGCGGCAATGGGTATAGCCACTACAGCAGCAATGGGTACAGCCGCTACAGCAGCAATGGGTACAGCCACTACAGAGGCAATGGGTACAGCCACTACAGAGGCAATGGGTACAGCCGCTACAGAGGCAATGGGTACAGCCGCTACAGCAGCAATGGGTACAGCCGCTACAGCAGCAATGGGTACAGAGGCAATGGGTACAGCCACTACAGAGGCAATGGGTACAGCCACTACAGGGGCAATGGGTACAGCCACTACAGAGGCAATGGGTACAGCCACTACAGAGGCAATGGGTACAGCCACTACAGCAGGCAATGGGTACAGCCGCTACAGAGGCAATGGGTACAGCCACTACAGAGGCAATGGGTACAGCCACTACAGAGGCAATGGGTACAGCCACTACAGCAGCAATGGGTACAGCCACTACAGCAGCAATGGCCACTACAGCAGCAATGGGTACAGCCACACAGAGGGCAATGGGTACAGCCACTACAGAGGCAATGGGTACAGTGCAGCCACTACAGAGGGCAATGGGTACAGCCGCTACAGAGGCAATGGGTACAGCCACTACAGAGGCAATGGGTACAGCATGGGCACAGCAGCAATGGGTACAGCTACCACAGCTACAGCAGCAATGGGTATAGCCGCTACAGCAGCAATGGGTATAGCCACTACAGCAGCAATGGGTACAGATGCTACAGAGGCAATGGGTATAGGCAATGGGTACAACCACTACAGCAGCAATGGGTACAGCCACTACAGCAGGCAATGGGTACAGCCACTACAGAGGCAATGGGTACAGCCGCTACAGAGGCAATGGGTACAGAGGCAATGGGTACAGCCACTACAGAGGCAATGGGTACAGCCGCTACAGAGGCAATGGGTACAGCCACTACAGAGGCAATGGGTACAGCCACTACAGCGGCAATGGGTACAGCCACTACAGCAGCAATGGGTACAGCCGCTACAGAGGCAATGGGTACAGGCTACAGAGGCAATGGGTACAGGTACAGGGAACACAGAGGCAATGGGTACAGTCGCTATAGAGGCAATGGGTACAGCCGCTACAGAGGCAATGGGTACAGCCGCTACAGAGGCAATGGGTACAGCCGCTACAGAGGCAATGGGTACAGCCACTACAGCAGCAATGGGTACAGCCACTACAGAGGCAATGGGTACAGCCACTACAGAGGCAATGGGTACAGCCACAAGGGTACAATACAGCAGCAATGGGTACAGCAGCGGCTACAGGCAATGGGTACAAGGTACACTACAGAGGCAATGGGTACAGCCACTACAGAGGCAATGGGCACAGCCACAGCAGAGGCAATGGGTACAGCCACTACAGAGGCAATGGGCACAGGTACTACAGAGGCAATGGGTACAGCCACTACAGAGGCAATGGGTACAGGTAAGGCAGAGGCAATGGGTACAGCTGCTACAGAGGCAATGGGTACAGCCACTACAGCAGCAATGGGTACAGCCGCTACAGAGGCAATGGGTACAGCCGCTACAGAGGCAATGGGTACAGCCACTACAGAGGCAATGGGCACAGCCTACTACAGCAATGGGGCAATGGGTACAGAGGCAATGGGTACAGCAATGGGCAGCAGCCACAGCAGCAATGGGTACAGCCGCTACAGCAGCAATGGGTACAGCCGCTACAGAGGCAATGGGTACAGCCGCTACAGAGGCAATGGGTACAGCCACTACAGAGGCAATGGGCACAGCCGCTACAGAGGCAATGGGTACAGCCGCTACAGAGGCAATGGGTACAGCCACTACAGAGGCAATGGGTACAGCCGCTACAGAGGCAATGGGTACAGCCGCTACAGAGGCAATGGGTACAGCCGCTACAGAGGCAATGGGTACAGCCACTACAGAGGCAATGGGCACAGCCGCTACAGAGGCAATGGATACAGCCGCAACAGAGGCATGGGTACAGGTAATACAGAGGCAATGGGTACAGCCACTACAGAGGCAATGGGTACAGCCACTACAGAGGCAATGGGTACAGCCACTACAGAGGCAATGGGTACAGCCACTACAGAGGCAATGGGTACAGCCACAACAGAGGGAATGGGTACAGCCGCTACAGAGGCAATGGGTACAGCTAATACAGAGGCAATGGGTACAGCTACAGTGTGCATGGGTACAGGTAATGCAGAGGCAATGGGTACAGCCGCTACAGAGGCAATGGGTACAGCCGCTACAGTGTGCATGGGTACAGGTAATACAGAGTGCATGGGCACAGCCACTAAAGCGTAGGTCTCCATCAGTGCAGTGAGAAGGGATATTGATATTGATACAATATCACTCGATGCACCATAAATCCATACTCAATACTCAAAGTAGCACTGAAGACCTGTTGCTGTTTGATTGTAATCCATATTTCATTTTCGAGCCACTAACATTTGTTTTGTTTCCTCCTTTGTAACATTACAACATTAGTTCATGAGACTTCCCATTAAGATCCAGGTTACAATGAGTCTTCAGCACCCCATGCTTGTCATAACAGGCAACTAACTGGCTCAGATGGTCAGGTTCACTGACTCAGTTCATGCATGTCATCATATCCAAACATTATGTCAATTGATGCTCAAGATGTCAATCGCTGGATGGTCTGGTCCAGACTTAATTATTTACAGGAAGCCATCATACACTGTAATGTTGCCAAGGGCAGCATTAACCAATAAACAATATAAGACTAGCATAGAGACATAACTGAAAAAAATCTTTATTCTGACTGAGGAAGAGCAAGAATTGACAAGAGAAGGCATCACTGCATGACATTAACACAAAAACAATTTGGTCTTCGTTTCAGATGTAAAACCTCCGTTCTGTCTAAACCACAAAATCTTGAGATCATTTTCACTTGTATCGATTCACTTATCACTTACATATGAGTATCAACAAAACTTGCAGCAGCCCTTACCAGCAAACTCCATGCCTCTCCTTCTAGGATAAATTAAACTATTTTGTGCTAAAAACTCTAAAACAAGAAAGACAAAGCTTGCAGATGGCCCTACATGTGTCCCCGGTATCCACCATTACAGGTGTTATCATGACCCGTGTATCTAAAACCATTGCAGGTATGTGATTTCTGAAATACATTTTCCTTTTCATGACTTGAAAAAAAGAACATGAAATATAATATATAGTTCTGGACAAGTGCTCTGATAAATCTGACAAAACAAAGATCAAACTGTTAGCCAAACTTTTAAATTACTTGGATATTAAGCAAACATAACGCAGTGAAACACAATTTATACGAGTTGCATGTATTCTGATTGAACTGTGTGAAAATTGTATTGAGGATTGTAAAGACTGTAAAATCATATAAAGTCTGATGAAAGTAGATCTAGAATAATCATGACATGCACAAATCTACTGACTAGTTCATGATCTGCAAGTAACAAGAAGAATGGCCTAACATGTTACTATCTGTTATATGTAGTGCATAGCATCTAACTCCAGTTTCTGCTTAATGTAATTATTGAGAGGTGTGTCAGAAGTGTATGGCTTATCAAAGGAAGATAACTCTTCACAGATTAATGAAGTATGATACATGAGAATATAAAATATCACATAAATGTATCAAACACTGAAATTAACATTATATTTACATCATAAATAACTCTAAAACAATGTGATTATCATAATCCCTCATGGAATCTTATAACCTTTAACATGTGTAAAAGCCAAAAATTTAACAATTTTGGAAGTAGAGTCCAGTGTTTACTGTTATATATCTACATACTACAGGTATTAAATAGTAAATGTGATAATATCACAATATGGAATTGACTGAATACAATAATTAAATAACATCTGAATTTACAATAATATATATATTACAAAAGGCCCCATTGTTTTCATCTTAAATTACTATTATAATCAACATGTTTTCTTCAAAACTATTGTCAAAGATACAATAACAGTTGTATTATTGGATCTGTATTTAAGCTTTCTGAGCAATTAAGTCAGTGTTGTAAACAATATGAGCAAATTTCGCTATCCAAATTAATATTGAGTTTGGTAAAATCCCTGACAAATGATGAATCTCATTAAGTCAAATCGTAGTGCTTCCTATTACTACAAAGCAGCACCAAGATCTGATTTTTAATGAGAATTTACAGTTTCAAACTTCCCTTGACAATGTGTTTACCTAATACCTGGTAAGAAACTGATCATTGTTCCATAGTACGATCATATATGGTAAATGCTATTTACTTAAAATTAACTGAAATATATTTTCAGAAAATATCCAATTACCATAATTTGAAAATAGATGCAAATATTGCCAGGAAACAAAAGTGATACTTTCATAAAGTTTGTCTACAGAGCAGAATAATTTCAATATAAATCCAATACGAGAAATAACATTCACAGCAGCATATCATACATTACATACTGTACCCAAATACAAATTATGACAATATCATGAATAACATATGTTACATCATGAATACAGTATTTCATTAATACACCACCACGACACTTAACTTGTATGCTACCATAAACAATGTACTTTGAATAATGTCTCAATCACTAGCACCAGGTGTTATTACAAATTCACTGACTTGCTTGCTTTAAACATTACTGTGCCTACAACTGACTCCACGGACGTATGTTCCACATACTCCGGAACATCTTCATAACAAACATATTTACAATGTCAATGACGAAGACAATGTTATGTACAGACACTTAGAAGAATGCCCATATTCATGTTTCCACCGTCCATGAGCAGAATATCTGAGGTACTTTTGTCAATGACGTCCATGACAAACATGTCCTTAAGAATCAGAAAACCAGTTTAATGCTGAAGTGACATTACCCATAACCAAAGTGCCAAAAAGAAAGAAACCAGTAACAATTAAATGCAATTTCTTGTAATAACTTTTGTAACATTGGTGATTTTATTGTATTCGGTTTTATAACAATTCAATTGGTTTGCATCAGTCCTTTAAAATCAAACTTTTGCCACAACCCCATTCTCTTCCCACAGAGGTTACTCCTGTCATATCTTCCTACGTGGGAAGATATGACAGGAGTAACCTCTGTGGGAAGAGAATGCTACAACCCATGCACAAGTGATTATGCGTGTACAGAGAAACAATTTTGCATCCAAAACAATGCAATATTTACCTACTCTGAGATTACACAACACATATGTCTTGCCACCTTAAAAAAGTACAAAAATAAACAATGTGCCATTATTTGTAGAATAAATTTAAAAGGAGAAGCATTTTGAATTAAAGAAGAAAAATGGACACAAATCCTAATTCCTGTCTCTTATAAATAATTAATAGCTATCCAACTACTGGTACACCCAACCACTGACCATAGTAAGTTAATACCACACTGGTGTGTTCTGATATACAACTTCAATACCTACAGAAAAAAGACATGTTGAAAATGACTAGGATAGCAATAAGCAACAATGTGTGTGCACTTTATTGAGTATATTGAAAATGACTATTTCCTTATCTATGAGAAATAACATTAAACTGAGTCAATGTCCCCATGTACTGGTACATAAGAAACAAGGCAGACGTTTGAATAAAGTTGAAGAGAGACAATCACCATAAATAAAATCTCACATTTTCACTGTTAGAATATTGTAGTTTCCACTGGATAAAGTTACCTGTCCACTTATATCTTGCTACAGTTGCATTTCTGATACTCATAAATAAAATAAAGAATTTATTTTTTTACATCACTTAACAAATAGAATGAAAGTAAAATGAAATTGATATCAAGTAATTAACAATGTATCAACAAGCACAAATATAAAATACTGATAAAAACCATGATGTTTTAAACATTCACAGTTCACCTGTGATAAGCAAGTAGGTATAAAATCTAAATAATGCTACAGCTAAGACTACAGAGACAAATGCTACAAAATACTTGTCAGTTAAGTATGAATAAATCTCAACCTCCATGTTCAGTTGTAACCAATTGCAAGATCCTCCAAAGATAAACCCAGGGACTACCCAAGGAAGCATGAAGCATTACCAAATGTAGTTACCAACAGGAAAGTTGACAAACTAATCTTAAAAAGACAGGCTTTTTGGAATAAATCAATTTGCACAATTTTATCTAAAATTTTATACTACTGAATTTAAAATTGAAGTCACTTGGGTCTTATCTTCAAAAGATCTTGACAATAAGTATCAGTCAAGACAATTCAGGCCTTCTCACAATGACAGTTGTACATTCTCACAAACCCTAAAGAACACATTAGAGTAGTCGGTCAGCAACCGTCTCTGAACAAATCCATACCCAATTCCAAGTTCCATAACTATCTGTTGCAGTGTGAAGCCAGCACACACTTGTCCTCCATCAAATGTCAGTGTGAGGCAGCCACTCACCAAACTGGTTATCTACTTAGCAATTATGACTGAAGTGAAGTACAAGAGAAAACACAATGGCAAAAAAGGGATGAGCTTGGTTCTAGGAGACTTGGAACATGATGATCCTGAAATTTATGGTCCTGGTGGCCAGGAGTTTGTTGCATTCAGTAGAGTCTGTGATAGGAAAGTGCTTCACTTCAGTCTCCGTGCTGTCGCTTGTGAACTCATGCTCATATATGGCTGGGTTAACCTTCATGTCACCATACGGTCCTTTCAAGGCCAAGAAGTGGAGACGCAAGGGGTTGCTGATGCGGCTCTTCAGAACGAGCTGGTACACAAGCTTGTGCTGACATGCCTGAGTTGGGTTTTTGTGGTCACTGTTGACATGAGCTTTGATTACCCACTGCTGGTTGAAAGCTGAAAAGCGGCTTGTCTCATAGAACAACTTGGTGATGAAGTCATCTGTTCTGTAGGGTTTCAACTGCAAGTCTGCATAAGAAAGATGATCCATATGATTAATAAAATACACATCGCATGTGTAAAACATTGCCATTGTTAAACTTTTTTTATAAAAGAATTTCAAAGAGTAATAATAGCTTGGGATCTGAACATTCTGACATCAAAACAGAATAAATTGTAAACAAACATGGATGAAAGACTGCTGACTGTCTATGCATGGTTATATTTAATGCATTGCACAGAACTGCTCTATTGATATTTACAAGATACCATTGCCATCTTTACAAGAGAGGTTTATATGATGGAGTGATTGAATTTGGTTTTAACTCTGCTTTGTATTCCAGTTATATCACACCATGTAAGCAGAAGTAAGCCCAAGCTTGTGCAGATCTGAGAGAAATAAGGCCAAATTGCTGCAGCTCTATGCCGTTCACAATTTCAGTGAAACCCAAGAGCATATGTATGGTAATAACACTAATATGTTGGAAGGAGGTCTTGCCACATGTTACAATGTCATAAATAATATACAAAACTCCTACCGTTGAAAGTGATCTTCTCCAGTGACAACAGTGAGAATATTGTACTGTAGAGCTGTTTTTCTTCCAGCTGTTTCAGGTCCAGGACTTTGAGCGCCTCGAGAACCTCACTCCCACTCTTCTTTGGATGGGCACACGATGTCTCATGCTCCCTCCCCTCATGGTAGGGACCTAGCCACGGGCACCCAATCTTGGCATATTTGCAAGCAGTGGGTCTGTGGAAGATAAGAACTGAAGATATACTACTAGTAAAAATATCCTGTAAAATTTGCGATGGTTACGGCCATGACCATACTTACAATTACTTGGACCTGGGTTGTCACTCAGAAAGCCTTGAACCTGAAAATGTCTCGCATAAAAATATCCAATACAGTTCTACTAATGTTTTCCTTTTCCTAAATTTGGCTTCAGACGCTGAAGAGACTGTAACTAAATTCTCTTACCTGAAAAAAACTGCCCTTGTTTAACATCATCTGAACTTATTGTGATACTATCTACTAACCAAACCATTTTGGGCTATTTTTCTTTTCTTCATCAGAAATCATCCATTGTGAATGACCAAATGAATCAAAACTTGTCAAATACTGCTCCTATCTAAGACAGAAATGGTAAAGGAACAAAATTGTCCAAAATGTCAGAACAGTGTATGGGCCAAAAACAAGACTCAGCATTCACTGGAATAGAGTTGAAAGGGCTTTGGAGCACTGGTATAGCACATATATTGATGTGTTCGAAACTGGGGTGGTGAACTCATAGCTTCCACTGCGTACTTTGATTTCACAACTGCAGTTGGTGAACATATGAATAGCCTCCACACAGTCTGATAACATCTCATACAAATTGTATTCAACAGTTCTACAATACATTTTATATAGGAATCATACATTCCAGGAAGTGAACATTTGTAAACAAAATTGATGGAGTACTCTTTGGAGTGCATTTTCATTTCTTTAACACTAATCATTTAGGTATATCCCCTCTATGTACGTTTCCATAGAAAAAAAATTTTACAAATCCAGAAGAGCAACCCATCGTAATAATTCAAACTGATTTTTGAATGCAAATATTCCAGATGCTCCACGTGGCTAACAATTTTGAATTTGGATAAAAAGAGAAGAAAATGAAGAAGAGAACAAAGAGATAAATCTGCACAAACACAATTATGCCATAATTGTACTGTAATTACCACAACATACATACTGAACAACCTGGGCATGCTACTGCAGCATGTTAAGAGACATAAAATACTTGCCGCCTCAACAGTTGAAGTACTGTTGCTCAACTCCAACAACCTAGGCGCGCTGCTAAATCTTCCGCTTATGAGACCATGGCTGAACAACTCCATTCCTGGTTAAATGACAGAAAATAGAAAACGTGTGGTTCTGGTTAAAACATGTTAACATAAACCTAACCAACAACGCAAGGAACTGTATGTGTGTCCCCCTCACACATGCAGTTGCTTGCTGGGCTAAGCTAAGGTGAACCTGTGGAGGGAAGGGCTGATTAGTTCTAGCCTAACCTAACGGTCAGGACGCTTACCCTACCTAAGCCCGCTTACCTTTCCGCACACAATTCCCTCTCATGATGATCAAGGATGTTACGAGGCAGCTTCTGGTTGCAGTACTGGCATTCTGTGGGAAGTTCTGATGCAGCTTTCTCAACAGCAAGATTTCTTGTGCAGAGATTCTTGGAGATTTCACATCGGCAGTTGGGGCAAGTTGCTGTTTCATCTTTAAGACGTGCATCAGCTAGGAGATGGTTGAAGCATCCTGCGCACATTAGATGTCCATTTGTGCACTGAAAGTAGAAACATTTTCAATAATTATTTAGCATGCATAGATGTGCAGGCTGATTTTATGTCATCCTTATTAATATTTGAATAAAGAAAAAAGAATTGGATATGTGAGGAATTAACATTCTACATCAGTCTGACTTGCACTGTTTCAGTTCATGTTTCATCTGGTTCCTTGTGAAATTATCTAAGCTTTAAAATATTGCATCGGCTATCACAAAAATAAAAACTAACTAACAAGTAGTACTGCAGTACCCTGTGAAATGAAAAATCATAGTGACTGGTAATTATTTTGTACCTGTGTATATATTCCTGTAACAGTATCTAATTACATTATGCAATTGTCCTTCAGGTCTGCCAGAATATCATAAACAGTCCGAACAAAAACAAAACTGTTGTCTCGTTTACAAATTTATCTCTGAGCAAATTATGTTGTGAATAACAAATATTTGCTCATACCAAATTCTGCATGTCATGTCTGTTTATCCGTAATACTCCATTGAGAATTAATGTTTATATTTAGTTTTATAATATGTGCAATATGAACCATTTTTATTGTTGTGAATGACAATAAACCTTTGAACTAAAAATGTTCCGATGACAATGCATAAATACCCATGACACATTCATTGCGCCCGTGGCCGTACCCAGCCCGACACACCCTAAACCTCCTAACTGCACAAGTTGGACAAGAAGGCAAAGGTCTCGAACTGGAGTGAAGATTTCGCACATCTACAGTTTTCATGCTGGTTTGATAGCGCAATTCACATGATGATTACCTTTTGTTAATATTAATGGATTTGGAAATGTGCCAGAATTATCATTGGCTAGCATCCCAAAATAGCACTGCTCAGATGACACGTCTGCATCACGTGATTCCCTGCACTTGGCAAAGGGCAGAGCGAACTTGGGTATTTCCTAATCGACAATTTCCAGATTCTATTGATCTAACAGCACAGTAAACTTGTAAATCGTCCTCCCTATTCAATTTCTGTAAAAATGCACTTAAACGAACTGTTATAAGAGTGAACTCCTTAAAAAGTGCGTTGTTTTTCTTCTGGTCAGCTGTGTGCATTTAGTAAACAAATTCTCAGCTGACAGATGCGAGACTCCGGAAATAACTTTGACCTTTACTCCCCACCCACCAAAGACTGTTTTTCGACATTACTCCAGTGACTTAACCTCAGTGACATTCAAAGTATGCTACAACCAGTTTAGCAAGCTGGTTACTTTTAAGGAGATGAACATTTTGACAAGCTGAGCCCATCCCCCCAAACTACCTGGTAGCAAGTCCTGGGCAGATCCAAACATACAGCACAGCACAGGATGCCGCTGAGACGATCTTCCAGCTTGTAACCTATAGATAAACAGTGGTCTGACAACTTTTGTTTCTTGACTTGTGGCTCAAAAGATGACATATTTTCTTTGTCTTCGTTTTCGTCGCGAAGAACTTGACGTGGAGCGTCTGCACTCTCGGCCATCTTGTTTGTTTGTAAATTTACCGTGACGTCAGAGCATGGAATAGCTGTTCCCATGACGTGATGGACAGCCAATAAAAGGGGTTCGCTGGGAGCATTAACCTGTCCCTCGACCAATCAAAAACCGCGCTTACCCCCGAAAGTATGTGTAATTAGTAGTCGTTTGTTTCCGTTGCTTAGACGGAGTTTCACGATGCGTGTCCGATGATTAATTTCAACTCCTGACCAATAAAATGCGAGTTGCCTTGGCAGGTCAGCCCAAATGGACGAATATGCCAAAATGATATCCATGACTGCGTGTTAGGAATGCAACTCTGCTTGCCCATACTTGTTTCCAAACCAGCTGATCCTTTTAGACTGGTTTTACATTACAAGCTCTGACCTGAATTCCGCGAACAAGAACCACTGAGGGATGAAATACACACAGCTGTTCGCTGGTTTGTTTTGATGATGCAATGTATAAGGTTAATGCACTATTCAGAAATGCTAACAAATAGTGGAGGTATTTGGACAAATTATATCTGCAATATTACATGGGGTATTGTCTAGCAATTATAAATTGAAACATAAACAAACAAAAATTAAAATGTACAAAATATGACAACATTCTGTCACTAAGATCTATGAACAAGGCACATATGAATCGTTATCAAGGGTTCCTGCTTTAATTCACGTACACGAAGGTAATTTTTCAAACTAATTCATATCGAGACCCTAAACCCCCATTCTTTCTCCTCCTTTATGAATTTATTCCATGCCATTCACAATCACAGGTGCCACGTTTGTTAATTGTGTGTTTACATGCAAGACGGGACAGGATAGCAACACATTAGCATAATCAACCTGCTTACCTTGTCATTAATTATTCATTTTACCAACGTCATTATACATATATTAGCCTTTATACACCTACACATTAACTACAACAGTGGTTCTACAACAACGGTTTCAACTACGTCCATTTCTTCAACTGACTGTTTTGTATATTTAATTAATCTACATCATTATTACTAGTATTTTAAATGTTCTTCACAATGCCCGAGCTTTCTTAATCAAAATGGGCGGTGGGGTATCCTAGTGTTTAAATCGTTGGCTCGTCGCGCCGAAGACCCGGGTTCGAATCCCCACATGGGTACAATGTGTGAAGCCCATTTCTGGTGTCCCCCGCCGTGATGTTGCTGGAATATTGCTAAAAGCGGCGTAAAACCAAACTCAGTCAGTCAGTCTTAACCATAATGTGTGAACTGGCATACTGTACTGTTGAAAATAGTGCTATCTGTCTTCGGACACCAGGCAAACAACACGGTATAAATACCTGGCAGATTAATTCTGTGAGAAACTAGGTCAGCCTCCGGCAGTGTTGTGATATGGACCCCACAAGACTAATTCTGCATGTTGATGTTCGAGATTTACTTTGCACATATACTAGCGGATATTTAATATCTTATAACTTCCACGGATGGGGAACTAACTTTTACTTTACATATATCATGAGGGATAAAATTGGACGTGTTAAGACGGGGGCAGTCTGTATGACCTCTTAAACTGAATACTACTGATAGCGGAGTAGATAAAGTAGCGAAACTTCCGAAACGGACTTATGGTAACGAATACGTCCAGTGTATTCATGATATAACAGTTGAGAATCAGTTAGGAAAAATGATAATTTATGTACAAAAAAATATATAAATAATAAACCCAAGGGGTGTAACGGATGTCCAATGGCTGATGTAGCAGAGAGGTGAAGAAGAAGGAAGAACTAGCCACATCCCTTGGAGACATCAACATGACATCGTCATCACGTCATATCCGTGAAGATCCGGGTTAGAATTGGTGTTCAGTAACCCAATGAAATCCAGTGAAATCACACTGTTACCACACCACACCGTTATACACTGCAAACTATTATGCGCTTAACCCAACTGCGTAGATCGATGCTCATGCTGTTGGTCACTGGATTGTCTCGTCCAGAGTATTACTGAGTGCGGCAAACCAACCAACCTATTGTATAATAGGTAGTAGTGTATAGCAATATGTAGTGTATAAAAGTGTAAACTGTTTGATATTTTGTGGTCTATAACAGCATACTTAGAGCTTAGATATAACATATCGTTTTGTAGACAGTAGTGCTTAGTTTATAATAGTGTTTTGTGTGTGCAATATTATTTAATGTGTAACACTCTGTATAGTGCATAACAGTGTTTATTGTATGATAGTTTTAGTGTATAACGATGTCATTGATGTAAACGATATGATTATTGTGTAATCGAGCGTAGTGTGTGGCGCATAATTTAGAATGTTGTGTTGCAGAACAATGTATAGTTTATATCAATATGTTTCTATAACTATGTGAAGTGTATAATATTGTTTAATTTTCACCCTGCGTAGTATGTGATAGTGTGTATTGTAGCATAATGTCTGATGTATTGTACTGTGTGGTGTATAATGGTGCAGAGTGTGTATAATAGTGTATAGTGTGCATTTGTGTGTAGTACATATAGTAGTATGTACTGGTAGTATTTGCTTTTAATAGTGCCTACCATGCACTATAGTATGCCTACATTATTTTTATTAAGACAGAAGGGCGGCGGGTGTCTTTTATATTTACTTGTTTATTGAAAATAAATAAATAAATAAATAAATAAATAAATAAATGGGTGCTGAGTGGGTGAATGAATGAATGAATGAATGAATGAATGAATGAATGATGAATGAATATGCAAATGCTCTACTCAGTGCAAACGTAAACATGTATATATGGATTACGACACTGTCATATTGGAGCGTTGGTGTGTGGGAACAACTACTGAACAAAGTCCACCGTTATCAGAAATAGTAACCTGATAGTTCCTACACCGTGTCAAGGTTCGTTATCTATAGTCCTGCCCAGTAAGCATACATACAGTGTTGGCATACCCCCTGGCTCCTTACCGTCAAGTGTTCTGAGATACCCATGTATCCATCCTACACCACAAGCTGTTTATCAGCGTAATATTATTATGTAACCACTTATAACTACTGCTGAAGACAGCTAAAGGAACACTTATCAGTTGAAACGTAATCGCTTTGTATGCACAAGAGCTTACAAAAGTCTGAAAGTTTCTTTTTAAAATGTGACGTGGCAAAATTACCGACTATACATTTATATTGCAGTAACTTCTTGGTGGTATGCTCAGGAATATTTCCCTTGGTATATGTTATCCGGGGTAAAAATGTAACACATGTTATATTTGGGATTACACTTTCTCAGTAAAGTACAGATTCTAGTACTTTTGTTGGGTTGAGTCCCATCCGGGATTTGAACCCACACCCTCCGAGTCAGGCACCTAATATAAATATTAATATTATATTATGTTATTTAACTTATTTCTATCACTCCACAATATCTCAGTTACGTGTACCTACGTTAATGGCAGCAGAGACCATATAATAGATCTATTATATGGTCTCTGATGGCAGTCGAAGGATACTAATGGTATGGTACACACTACTCTGTAATATTTAGTTTTCTGATTTTCTACGATACACAAACATGATCCTCATGTCAAATGAACATTTAAATATAATGACCTATCTGATTTTCCCTATCAAAAGTTGCAGGGGCGGATACAGCTTTTTGAGAAAGGGGTGCACACTATTGAGAAAAGGAGGGGTGCACACTTCATTTTCACCCGAGTTTCAATGGTCATATAACAAACTTTCAGCATAAAAGGGGGTGTGCGCACCCCTGCACCCCCCTCTGGATCCGCCTATGAGTTGAGTGGTATATTTTCAACAACAAAGTCTTTATCTGAGGAGACTTCAAGCACGAGTAGTGAGCTATCTCAAAATAATCAGATCTCAGTTCTCACCACCGCGAGAAGGATCGAGAGAGATATAACGTAGTTTATCGAACTGTTGGAAATTTTAAATAGTGAAATTCGTTGTATACTTCATACTGACGACTCCACACCGTCGTGGTGCACACGATACCTATAGTCTATAAGTATAAATACAACATTAGCACTGGTGCAGAATTACAACGGTCTATACCAGACATTGTGTCATAATGAGTATTGCGTCACTTTGCTTAACATGGCGGATGTAACACTGACTAACACAAGATAACAGTGTTATCATATCCCACGCTGCTTGACGGGATGTCGGATAACTGCCGGCAGTGTTATAACAGATATATACCTATTTTGTGATGTCTTGACTTGTCATATGCTACAGGCATGATAGATATTTCTGTTTCTGGATCTGCACGAGACTCTTTCTTCCTGTTAGTAGGCCTTCATAGGAACACCCCCGCACGTCTGAACAGTTATTGATGGGAGACACAGTCAATTGTTTCTAATTACATTCTCTTTCGTGTGTGGGAGTACGGCTCTGATTTGTGTCAGTGAATAGACGTGTGGGCCAGACTAGATAGAGTAAAGCAATATATCTGCCGTGGCAGAACGATCTAATGTGTGAATATAGCCTTGCTCCAAGGCTGAGTTGAATACTAAGCCAATGGATGTATAGTAATTCTATCCTTTAAAGAGGCAAATCTAGACAAGCGGACAGTCTAAGGACCCCATTCTGTTATTTATATTTAAAAAATAGAAATTATCATTTAAACTATTAATTATTATCTTAGACACTTGTGCAAGTCTATTCTGAATACTGAACAGTCAGGCAGTCAGGAGCAGATACTACGAGAGGAAGCAGTTCGTCTGGACATGCCGATGACACATCATTTTAATTGGTCAGGTCAGGCCAGGAATATACAATCTTAAGAGGTAGGCGACCTGGCGAATGTACCTTTTACGACTCCACACTACAATTATGTGTGCGTGTCCAACGAGGGATGATTGATCCAATCAGTTCATTCCTCCGGGGAATAAATGCTGTCAAAACAACGACTCGGGAAATGTGAAGACCTTTTGATACTACAAACACAAGTTGTTTTGTTGATGCAGACTGACAGACTGACGCCTAGTTTCTGAACACATGTAATCAGGATAGAAAGAAATAATTCATTTTAAATGGAAAAGGAGACCCAGCGAGATGGGAAATTTAGAACCTGAACCTGAGGAAATCTAAGGAAGTGAGTTTTATGGATGTCAACTTATCTATTATGAGGAACATAACGTTTCGGAGTACATGTATATCCGTACTCCTTCATCAGGTGAATGAATGATATGAGGCAGAGAACACATACATACATGTTACAACAACAAAAGTGATAAGACAACAAAGATGCAGGCTAAATAATGAAAGCCAACAGTTAACTGGCGGTGATGTGTGATTGGCAAAGGGCGAATGAGGAAATCTAGACATGCTTTATTTAGGGCTTTAGTATTGCAATATGGGCTGGACAGACGGGAAAATATAGTGGTTCAGTGACTGCGACACAGACTAAGTGATGTCGATATGAAATTGTGCTCCAAAACTGTTGGTTTGTATTTTTATTAGAAACATCCACGAAGTAACACAATGAAGCATTAAAGATGCTTCTCGTTTCGTGTTTGAGGAATCTACTCCAGACATCAATGTTAATACACGTTTGCGCGATGAAGCTGCGAAATTGAACTGAATTTGATTACCCTTAGACCACAAAGATTTACATAAGAGGTGAATGCATGCATGCATACTCACATGCACCCAGAATTAGGTCTCTTGTGGTGATGTAAGAGTTGTTTTAAATCTTGTCTTTAATGAGATAGAACACACCTTCGGGAAGAATTATCAGATCTGGTTTTCGTGTTTGTTAATAGGAATCCTAACTTGTTGATTACATCCGTAACTGAAAGTGTGATATACTGTGTTCTGCACAAAAAAAAAATCATTCAAGGTGAAGAGATTGTCACATGCAGTGCTTATATTGGTAGCTTTGATGTATCCCTTGCATATCTTGTGATGATCAGAAAGTTGCTCTTGTGAAAGGAACCAGACTAAGCGAACTGATAATCGTTATTAAAACGAACACATCGAAAGGTTGGTTGACTTGCACGTTTTCCGCTTCCTGGTTTCGACATGAATGTCTGCGTATGGCATTTAATACAATGATACTTCCCCAACAAACACCTTTTCAAGATATATATATATACACCTTTTCAAGATATATATATATATATATATATATATATATATATATATATATATATATATACACATACATACTGCAGGAATTTGGTGTTCGTTTAACGCCACACCCCAATAATACAGGCGGACAGACAGACAGGTTTATTCGGTAATTTAGGCCCAAGGCCCATAATACATACATTTTGCAAAAGTAAATACATACTGAGTAAAGCTGAGTACAGTTTAGTATTAATTAATTTTATATTTATTTATTCCTTTTACGGCGAACTTGTGAAAGGTATTTACTCAATGATTTTAAAATATTGATATTGTCCGATGACAACAGCCGGATGAAGGTTTCAGTTGTCGGTGGTTGAGTCAGATGATTTGAAAAACAGTCAGATCTTTGTTGGGAATAGTTTGGACATATTAATCAAATATGGAGTTCATCTCATCTTCATGTAATCAAGGCCACAATACCCTGTTATATGACGAGTAATTTTAGATAATCGAGTCTGGATTATTCACAGACGTCACTGAAAACCTGACCAAAGATCCATCTTAAGGGATTACGGTGACGCCTACCTGCATGCAGTCACATAGCCTGGGGGACGGTGGGATAGCCTTGTGGTTAAAGCGTTCGCTCGTCACGCCGAAGACCAGGGTTTGAATCCCAACATGGGTCAAATATACGAATATTATTTCAGGTGTCCCTGGCAGTAACATTGTTTGGGTATTGCCAAAGGTGGAGTAAATCAACACTCACGCTGTCTGACTACCAGATGCATCCCGCGATCAGCATGGGTTGCTGCTTGGACCCTTTTCTAGCCTGGAGTCCCAGTGGGTGGAAGACTACACGCTGTTTCTCCATAGATCCTTGTATTCTACCAGCATGGCCTGCTGCTTGGACCCTTTTCTAGCCTGGAGTCCCAGTGGTGGAAGACTACACGCTGTTTCTCCATATATCCTTGTATTCTACCAGCATGGCCTGCTGCTTGGACCCTTTTCTAGCCTGGAGTCCCAGTGGGTGGAAGACTACACGCTGTTTCTCCATATATCCTTGTATTCTACCAGCATGGCCTGCTGCTTGGACCCCCTTTCTAGCCTGGAGTCCCAGTGGGTGGAAGACTACACGCTGTTTCTCCATATATCCTTGTATTCTACCAGCATGGCCTGCTGCTTGGACCCCTTTCTAGCCTGGAGTTCCAGTGGGTGGAAGACTACACGCTGTTTCTCCATATATCCTTGTATTCTACCAGCATGGCCTGCTGCTTGGACCCTTTTCTAGCCTGGAGTCCCAGTGGGTGGAAGACTACACGCTGTTTCTCCATATATCCTTGTATTCTACCAGCATGGCCTGCTGCTTGGACCCCTTTCTAGCCTGGAGTCCCAGTGGGTGGAAGACTACACGCTGTTTCTCCATATATCCTTGTATTCTACCAGCATGGCCTGCTGCTTGGACCCCTTTTCTAGCCTGGAGTCCCAGTGGGTGGAAGACTACACGCTGTTTCTCCATATATCCTTGTATTCTACCAGCATGGCCTGCTGCTTGGACCCCTTTCTAGCCTGGAGTCCCAGTGGGTGGAAGACTACACGCTGTTTCTCCATATATCCTTGTATTCTACCAGCATGGCCTGCTGCTTGGACCCTTTTCTAGCCTGGAGTCCCAGTGTGTGGAAGACTACACGCTGTTTCTCCATATATCCTTGTATTCTACCAGCATGGCCTGCTGCTTGGACCCTTTTCTAGCCTGGAGTCCCAGTGGGTGGAAGACTACACGCTGTTTCTCCATATATCCTTGTATTCTACCAGCATGGCCTGCTGCTTGGACCCCTTTCTAGCCTGGAGTCCCAGTGGGTGGAAGACTACACGCTGTTTCTCCATATATCCTTGTATTCTACCAGCATGGCCTGCTGCTTGGACCCTTTTCTAGCCTGGAGTCCCAGTGGGTGGAAGACTACACGCTGTTTCTCCATATATCCTTGTATTCTACCAGCATGGCCTGCTGCTTGGACCCTTTTCTAGCCTGGAGTCCCAGTGGGTGGAAGACTACACGCTGTTTCTCCATATATCCTTGTATTCTACCAGCATGGCCTGCTGCTTGGACCCCTTTCTAGCCTGGAGTCCCAGTGGTGGAAGACTACACGCTGTTTCTCCATATATCCTTGTATTCTACCAGCATGGCCTGCTGCTTGGACCCCTTTCTAGCCTGGAGTCCCCAGTGGGTGGAAGACTACACGCTGTTTCTCCATATATCCTTGTATTCTACCAGCATGGCCTGCTGCTTGGACCCTTTCTAGCCTGGAGTCCCAGTGGGTGGAAGACTACACGCTGTTTCTCCATATATCCTTGTATTCTACCAGCATGGCCTGCTGCTTGGACCCCTTTCTAGCCTGGAGTCCCAGTGGGTGGAAGACTACACGCTGTTTCTCCATATATCCTTGTATTCTACCAGCATGGCCTGCTGCTTGGACCCCTTTCTAGCCTGGAGTCCCAGTGGGTGGAAGACTACACGCTGTTTCTCCATATATCCTTGTATTCTACCAGCATGGCCTGCTGCTTGGACCCTTTTCTAGCCTGGAGTCCCAGTGTGTGTGGAAGACTACACGCTGTTTCTCCATATATCCTTGTATTCTACCAGCATGGCCTGCTGCTTGACCCCTTTCTAGCCTGGAGTCCCAGTGGTGGAAGACTACACGCTGTTTCTCCATATATCCTTGTATTCTACCAGCATGGCCTGCTGCTTGGACCCCTTTCTAGCCTGGAGTCCCAGTGGGTGGAAGACTACACGCTGTTTCTCCATATATCCTTGTATTCTACCAGCATGGCCTGCTGCTTGACCCTTTCTAGCCTGGAGTCCCAGTGGGTTCTATATCCTTGTATTCTACCAGCATGGCCTGCTGCTTGACCCCCTTTCTAGCCTGGAGTCCCAGTGTGGTGGAAGACTACACGCTGTTTCTCCATATATCCTTGTATTCTACCAGCATGGCCTGCTGCTTGGACCCTTTTCTAGCCTGGAGTCCCAGTGGGTGGAAGACTACACGCTGTTTCTCCATATATCCTTGTATTCTACCAGCATGGCCTGCTGCTTGACCCCTTTCTAGCCTGGAGTCCCAGTGGGTGGAAGACTACACGCTGTTTCTCCATATATCCTTGTATTCTACCAGCATGGCCTGCTGCTTGGACCCTTTCTAGCCTGGAGTCCCAGTGGGTGGAAGACTACACGCTGTTTCTCCATATATCCTTGTATTCTACCAGCATGGCCTGCTGCTTGGACCCCTTTCTAGCCTGGAGTTCCAGTGGGTGGAAGACTACACGCTGTTTCTCCATATATCCTTGTATTCTACCAGCATGGCCTGCTGCTTGGACCCCTTTCTAGCCTGGAGTCCCAGTGGGTGGAAGACTACACGCTGTTTCTCCATATATCCTTGTATTCTACCAGCATGGCCTGCTGCTTGGACCCCTTTCTAGCCTGGAGTCCCAGTGGGTGGAAGACTACACGCTGTTTCTCCATATATCCTTGTATTCTACCAGCATGGCCTGCTGCTTGGACCCCTTTCTAGCCTGGAGTCCCAGTGGGTGGAAGAAGACACGCTGTTTCTCCATAT